AAAAAGGTAGGTTAAGGAAATAAGATCTGAAGTCACTACTGTCACGAAAAAGACAGTCTAAGCATATAACTGCAGTGGCTCTTTATTTGGTGCAATAATGCTATTAGCAGAATAGCTTTTACTACTAGATTTAGTATATCTACACACATAGTGACCCTATTACTGTTTTTGGCTAAAAGGAAATAGTAGGGCTCTTGTGTAATTTGTGTTTTAGCTCATTCTCCTTTCTTGTGTATGGAGAAAAATCTTAAATGAATTTGTAATTGTCTTGGAGGATGGGGTTTACGAACTACTGTAAATTTTTAATATTTAATGACCCATTGTGTAGGCCCAAAATAAAAGAGTAGGTACCACAGAAATTCCTTAAAGGAATAGCATGCCAGTCTCTTGCCAACAAGTTTTATTACGACTTGTGTTTTGTGGGATAGAAAAAATTGCTATGAACTAAATAATACAGGAAAGTCTGCAGAAAACCTGACTGTACCTTACAGCATCCTAGTTGGTACTATTTTGCAGCTGTGGAACTTTGTAGAGATGAAATTGGACTGTGATTGAGTAGGAATCAAACTGTTTAATGTCTTATTTGTGAAAATTTCTTGGGCATGAAAATGATCTGCGCCAACTAGTGTTGTGGATGTTTGTATCTAGTTGTCAGACTGGAGCAGAAATGGGTTAAGAATAGGTGTGTAGCAGTATTCAGAAATATGGTGAAATAAAAAATTTTCATGATATTGTTTCTATTTGCTTTGCAATTCTGTAGACAAGAATTGAATTAATTTAAACAATGTTTAAAATAAACATGCAGCTTCCATGCTTACCTAACAATTTTGTTTGGCTGACAAAAACAATAACATCATTCCTGTTGGAATAGCTGTCAGCTTCTGTGTCTTCTGATGGCATCTAAACTTCATGGCAAAGACCACATACTCTTTGTCCTTTGGAACTCCCAGGAAACTACTCTTTCCTTAAGAAGTACTTTGCAGGAATAGAAGTTGTATACTAACATTAGATTTCAAGGTTATTAGAAGTCTTTAAAATGTAGATATCATTTTAGAATCACAGAGCAGCCCAGGTTGGAAGAGATCTCGAAAGATCATCTGGTCCAACCATTTGTGGCAAAGAAGCCTAGAGGAGATTATCTAGCACCCTGTCCAATAGCATCTTGAAAACCTCCAGTGAAGATGACTCTGCCACATCCCTGGGGAGGCAGTTCCATTGAATGGTTGTTCTTACTTAAAATTTCTTTCTCATGTTGAGATGAAACCTCTCCCAGTGCAACTTGTACCCATTGCCCTTTGTCTTCTCAATGTGGCTCCTTGTAAAGAGAGAGCCTCCATCCTCTTTGTAACCACCCTTTAAGTACTGGAATACTGTGATGGGTTCCCCTCTGAGCCTTCTCTTCCCTCGGAGAAAAGACCTAAAGGCCTCAGTCTTTCATCATGGGGCAGATTTTCCAGCCCTCTGAACATCATCATGGCCTTTCTTTGGACCCTCTCTAATCTGTCGATTGTCCTTAACTGTGGTGACCAGAACTGGACACAGTACTCCAGGCGCAGCCTGACAAGCGCTGAGTAGTGAGGGCTATTTCATTCCTCATTCTTGAGGGTTTTTGTGGCTGTGTACATTCAGTGCTTTGAGGGCCAATTAGAATTTCATATGCTGAAAGCTGTTAAAATTGTAGGGAATACACAGCTTAACATCTTATTTAGAAGTTCTTAAAATACGTTCTCACTATTCTTGGATAGTCTTTTCCAACGTTCTTCTGTGTGTAGAATGATTAAGGAAGGTTTTTTTCAGATCATAGAATTATAGGATGCTTTGGGTTGGAAAGGACCTTTAGAGGTCATCTAGCCCAACCACCCTGCAGTGAGCAGGGACATCTTCAACTGGATCAGGTTGCTCAGAGCCCCGTCCAACCTGACCTTGAATGTTTCCAGGCATGGGGCCTCCACTACACCTTCTTGTGCCCTCAGCACAAGAAGGACATGGAACTGTTGGAGCGGGTCCAAAGGAGGGCTACAAAAATGATCCGAGGGCCGGAGCACCTCTCCTGTGAGGACAGGCTGAGAGAGTTGGGCTTGTTCAGCCTGGAGAAGAGAAGGATGCGGGGAGACCTGACTGCAGCCTTCCAGTACTTAAAGGGAGCCGACAGGAAAGATGGGGACAATCTTTTTAGTAGAGACAGCAGTGACAGGACGAGGGGTAATGGTTTTAAACTAAAACAGGGTAGGTTTAGGCTGGATATAAGGAAGAAATTCTTTACAATGAGGGTTGTGAAACACTGGAACGGGTTGCCCAGAGAGGTAGTGGAGGCCCCATCCCTGGAAACATTCAAGACCAGGTTGGACAGGGCTCTGAGCAACCTGATCTAGTTAGTGGTGTCCCTGCTCGCTGCAGGGGGGTTGGACTAGATGACCTCTAGGGGTCCCTTCCAACCCAAAACTTTCTATGATTCTATGATCTCTGGGCAACCTGTTCCACTGTTTCACCACCCTTATGGTAAAAAACTTCTTCCTTTATATCCAGTCTAAATCTACCCTCTTTTAGTTTAAACCCATTGCTCCTTGTCCTGTCGCAACAATCCTTGCTGTAAATATTTTCCTCATCTTTCCTGTAGGCCCCCTTCAGGTATTGAATGGCTGCTATAAGGTCTCCCTGTAACCTCCTCTTCTCCAGGCTGAACAGCCCCAATTCTCTCAGCCTTTCCTCACAGGAGAGGTGCTCCAGCCCTCAGATCATCTTTGTGGCCCTCCTCTGGACCCGCTCCAACAGCTCCATGTCCTTCTTGTGCTGAGGGCTCCAGAGCTGGATGCAGGACTCCAGGTGGGGTCTCTCCAGAGCAGAGTAGAGGGGTGGAATCACCTCCCTCGACCTGCTGGCCACACTTCTCTTGATGCAGCCCAGGATATGTTCGCCCTTCTGGGCTGCATGATGGTGTTAATTACTAGAGTGTGGGCAAGGTTTAAAGTTGTAGGGAGAAAACAGTGAAATATAGAAGTCCTTGGTTCACAAAAGGTCATAAGCCAGCTGTGAATTTCAAGTGAAGACAATTCCTACTGAAGTTTGAAACCCGTCATTACCCTCTCACAGAGCTGGCTGCAAGAGGAGAGCCCAATCTTACATCAAAGTCTATTGTAATCATGGCCAACTTGCTCTGTTGAGCAGTGTAAGTCAAGTAAGTGCTGTGTGCTGGTATGTATTTCTGTTATAAAGGTATTGTTGTGTTTAAATGATATGTGTTTATCTGATGTTCATTTGCAAAAGGAGTTGCATTCAATTAGTGACTTCAGAAAACTATAGAGTGAAAAACTCTTTTTTCCAGAATATATTCCGTCCTTAAGATAGTTTGAAAAAGCCACAAATGTTATTGTATGATATGCTTGCCTTTATTAGTTGGTACTGTAATTGGTTACACAAAGTCATCTTCACACTTAAGTTGCATTTAATTTTTCAGGTTTAATCCCCAGTGTAGAAATGTTTCTGATATGGTAAAGAAAATGAAATGTTGTTAAAATGCTGTTGAATTGTTGTTGCTGTCCGCTACACTTGGCATTTCGAAACTTAGCAAGTTTGTAAGAGTGCTTACGTCATGGAAATTCTTTTATTTTAGTCCTTAGAGCTGAGAAGATCTGAATCTACAGAAACTGAAGCACCTTGGGATTTTGTTTTTCCTTTGGCATATTGAGTAGTATATATTAATTCTTTGTGCTTTCTTTTTTTTTTTTAGAAGTCTTTTATCAAGCTTTGAATTTAATAAATAAATCCATGTGGCAAAGTAAGCAGATGGACCACAAAGTCAAGTTACATACACCCTCTAGAGAAAAAAAAAAACCTACACTTGAATTCCATAAGATCATAGGGGACAGATCTTTGACACTATTCTGGTTGTGCTTGGAGCTATGATAAGTCATGCTAGGTAAAAATACCCTCATCATCATATTTTGGCATTTTATTTTCAGTATGTGTGATTTGTAGTATCAGTCTAATATATTCTTTCTTGAAATCTGAGCTTTCTAACAGCAAAAGAATTAGAAGTCTTTCTCGTAAATTAGTAAAGCTTCAGAAGTCCACCTCATGACTTAAAATAAAACAAAATGAGCTTAAGAGTAAGATCTCATTTTATATAGAAAAAACGTTTTGCATGTATGTAATAGTAGCAGTCACCAGAGGGCAACGTTCATCCTCCTTTTTACATACATGTTCTCTGTTGTATGCTGTTCAGTCTGAAAAATGGGCCTGAACTGTTGCATCTGTGATGAAATTTATTTTATGTGGAGCGGTTTCAAGTAGAAAGTAATTTTGCCTTTTGCTTTCGAACTGCAATACATTGCAAGCTGGAAAAAATATGAAGGATTTTAGTTAAGGCTCCAGAAGAGTTATTGATCTGCTCAATTCATTTTTGTTAGCTTCCCAAGGAATGTTCTGTGTGTACTCAAAATAAATTGCGACTGCAAAACTTTTTTGATCATGCATCAATTTCTCCTTCAATGAAAGCACATTTTGAAAAATGCCACTCTGCTCCCAAAAGAAAGATAGCACTACCACAGGAAACAGTGTTCTTTTATTTTTTCATATATATATAAAATTTATTTTGTTAAAAGAATAAAAATCTCTTTACTGTATTAGTAAAACACATGGTACTACCTGAAACAAATAACAGAAATACTTGCATCATATTTTTAAGTCACAACAGTGTGTGTGTGATTTAAGAGTCTCGTGAAGAACTCTTGAGTAGTATTCTAGCATACTAACAAGTAAAAACCGAACAAAATACACATATGTACACAAAAGCCCCAAACTTCGCTTTGTGCATTGGTTTCAAATCAGGGATTGCTGCATAATGCAGCTGTAAGCCAGTTCTCAGTAGGCATTTATGGACTTGCTAGTATAAAATCCTGTCAGTGCAGGCAACCTATAGGGAAGTGTTGTCATTATGCTTATCTCCAATAAGCAGAGAGAGAGGTTCATAAATCTTTACATATCTTGTATTTTGATTTAAGGTCAGATCACCTGGTTCGGCTATGAAAGTCCTCGTAGTTTCTGGGACTACATTCGAGTAGCTTGCCGAAAAGTCTCTCACAATTGCATCTGCAGTATTGAGAACATGGAGAATGTCGGCTCTTCTAGAGCTAAGGTAGGGAAGAAAAAGGTCAAATTGACTTTTTTTTATTACATTGTTTCTTCTGTGTAAAATATAGCTGACATCTCTGTACCCAGAAGAAAAACCTATTACTAAGCTTGCCCCACAAAATTTTTCATTGTTTCAAATAATTATTTTTTTATATGTACCTAGTATATGTTTACTTTAAAAAAAAACCCACTAAATTTGAGTATGTTTCTTTTTAAATTTATGTTAGACAGTAGAATAAATTTCAAATTCTCTATTCAGTGAGCATGTTGTATTAGAAAATGATTGCCTTCCCATTTTTGAACTTACGTAAATTTTTGAAAATGCAGTATGTTGAGGGAAATTAAGTTCACATGGTCAGGCCTAATAAATATTTTAAAATTGTAGAAATGTGGTTTTCCCACCCACCCCACCTAAGTATAATTTTATTTTGTATAGAATTTATGCATTAATAGAAAAGGTGTGATCAACCCTTGAGTTTGTTGGTGTGATTGTGCAGGAAGCCTTTAATATATTTATTTGCTAATAAAGATCTATCATTTTAAAGGATCTAAGTAGAAATGACATCATGATTTCTGATTGTAGGTATGATGGAAATGTTAAGGAAGTAACAATTTGATGTGTCCATATGCATATGAACTGAATAAGAATAAGCTTTGAACTGACCTGTCGTTAAGTCTTAGTCCTGTGAGATGGTATAGACCAACATCTTAAACAAACAAACAAAAAAACCCAAACAAACAAAAAAAACCCCACAACAACAAAAATACTGTTGGACAGAGATTACAAGTTCTTTCTACTAGATTGGAATGCTTTTCAATAGCTTGCATTTCTGTGTAAAACAGCCTTGATTGATAACTGAGAACCTTCTGACTTGAAAGTATAAGTAGTATAAAAGGATGCACAAATTAATGTTTTTAATTCTTTTTATTCCTATATGATCTGGAATTGGTTGTTTGAACATGTATCCAAACTGTGTTCCATGACTATTTTAAAAACCATGTAGTTCCAGATTTTTTGTTATTCTGGATTTTTGTTACTCTGGATTATTCACAGTTGGTTTCATTGGTGAGGTGGAAGTATTTTGGTTGTTATGTACAAAAACTTTGTAGGTTTTTTTTCAGGGGCATGACTGTGGCTAATACAGTTTAAATTACAGTTATATATGCCACCACAGTTTTCTGCAAGAAGAAATGATGCTCAGATCAAGCAGCACTATGAATCTAGTAGATCTTTGAGCAGCCATTCTGATGATCCATAGTGTGGCAGAACAGTTTATTTGCTATGTCTACTGTTCCTCCTTTCTTGTTTTGTATAGACTCAGTTTTAAATTTTATATAGTAAACCGATCTGTAATTTGCATGAAAGCTTTGAAACACTTTAGATTCTATGGCAAAAAGCCATTGACTGATTTTCCTATCCAGAATATTACATGCTTTTCCTAGCATTCAATGTAATGGAGTAAGCAGACTGATAATCTAAGTCATGCAGCTTTCCTTCTTGCTCCTGTTGTGATCTGGAAATTCAGATAATTTGGAAAACTTATTTCCAAATACTTTGTGGACAGACTCGTGTTCTAGAATCTGATGATAGTATTGTTTATATTCAAGATTAAAGGTATTTCTGAATTCCAATATTTTAATAGATATGAATATTTAAATTCAGTAGATAGTAAGATGCAAAGCTATTTTCTGAAATACTCTTATAAATACATTAAAATTTTCTTTCACTCTGTGGAAATCTCCATGCCAAATAGTATCAAAGAAGTTAATTTGTGCAGTGAGTGTGGAGAGTGGTGCTGAATTTTTAAAGGTGCATGTGGGAGTATTTTGGATGTCCATATCTGCAAAGGTTGGAGGCATGTCAACACAAAAAGCAGTGGTATGCATCAGTTTTACTGGTGGTCCAGATGGGTGTCGGCTTCAGCCTGGAAGCTGTTAGTAAGGGTTTGGCAGTGCTGGTTAGCCTTGTTTTCACCAGAGCTTCGTAGACCTTACTCGGTAGCTAGGCAGGAGCACCAGGATTTGACTGTTTCACTTGTGTTGGCCAGAGAAGCTGTGGCTGCCCCCTCCCTGGAAGTGTTCGTGGCTGGGTTGGATGGAGCTCTGAGCAACCTGGTTTAGTGGAAGATGTCCCTGCTCATGGCAGGGGGTTTGGAACTGGATGATCTTTAAGGTCCCTTCCAACCCTTAACATTCTATGATTCTATGTTCTAAATAACTGCAACATAAAGGCAACTATCCAGATAAACGTCCTTTTAATTTTAGTGCACTCTACGTTAAAGTTTTTGCTGTGTTGTTGGTATTTATTAAAGTGAATTTTTTTGTTGGTTAAAATCTGCCTGTCATGATAAATTTAGTTTGATTTAGATCTATATAAAGTAAAAGTAGGATTGTAATCCACTACAGGTGGTTTTGGTAGAATGTCTGTAGTGATATTCAGCTAGATGTCAATAAGCACCAGATATATTAAGCAGAAAGATGTCTTACTAATATAATTATTTGGAAGTTTATGTGGGTTACAAGAAATGTTCCTGGTGTTCTCATACTGACAGTCATAACTACGGCAGCCATTTGAAGTGTCTCTCTCTACTACAGTCCTGTGCACTAGACCTGTAAACACAGTGCAAGATAAATTCCTAAAGGTTATTTTTGAAGCTATTGCTGTTGTTGATAGAACTGTATGAATGAAGTTCTGCTTTTGGACTACAAGTTTTAGGCCTCTTAGATTTGATTTCATTCCTGTATATCATGTGCACCTTCTATAATGCTGTCCTTACATCATTATAAAAAGGGAAAAAAATAATTTATGCAAATTACATAATAAAAATATGTCAATGGGCTAGAATTTTTTTTTAATTGATTCCACCAATATTTGAATGAACACAGAGAATTAATTCTTACTTTACCTTGTGATAAATCTTACTTGATTTATCACCTTGAGGGTAGGTTACTGTTGCTTTACAGTGGAACTGATTGGATGCTTCCAATACCATTGTCTTTAAAATGAAAAGCTTTCTGCCCTGATCTGCGACCATTTATGCACATGAGATTTTCAAGAGGCTGGAGGCAACCCCCTTTTTTTTTCCCCTTCAAATTTTGGAGAACTTTATTTTAAAATAAAGTTTAATTGTAAGGATGCATTTTCTACTTCAGTTATTACTATCAATGAAGTACATCTTCGCAACAATTTCTGTTTAGTGGTAATTTTGTTAATCAGTTCATTTCACCCAGGTAAATCAACTGTATTTGTTTTCAGATGTAAAAATAAGTGTTTCATTCTATAATACTTAAATATTTGATATCTGTTTCTTCTTGCAGGGTCGAGCCTGGATCAGAGTAGCACTTATGGAAAAGCATTTGTCTGAATATATTTCCACAGCTCTGAGAGACTTCAAAACGACCAGGTCTCTAAGACTTTTATTTTTGCAATATTTTAGCAAATGTTACTTACATGAGGGACTTGGGTTTGGTAGTGAATGTTCCACTTACTTTGTATAGGAAAGAATGTCACTAGCAAAAGAGCTGTAACCTAGTAAAAGGTATCTGGAGTTGGTATCAATTGATTGGATTTTAGCATGCAAAATTGAGTATCGATTTGTGATTTTAAAAATGTTGAAATAAGTCTGTAGTTCTTGAAAGGTCAAAAGAGAAAAAAGACCTCTCTAAAGAAGGAACAAAGCCCTAGACACTCAGTAAAAAATAATTTTTGTAGAAACTTTTCCTGAAGAAGGAAGGAAGAGAATTCCAGGAACGTTTTTGAGAAATATAGAAGAACAGAATTTAGTGATCGGGCATAGCTAAGATTCTTGATGTAATATGAAAAAAGTGTAACAGATTTTTGTTGTACCTTCTAATGGTAAAAGGTGTTATGGACAAGAATGTGCTTTGTGGTAGAAAATACTCCGGCAGTTTTGGACTGATTCTAGATAATGTGATTATTATATGATGCTTTATCCTGTAACAAGTGTGTCTTGTAGATTTATGATGAAGTCATCTGAATATGAGTGAGTCTGTAATATGTTATGGTACCTCATGTTGAACTCTAAAAGTTTTAGACATACTAAATGGGCTAGTTCAACAATAAGAATTATAAGATTTTCCCTGGAAGGACTTCTGTTCATTTAGAATATTGTTTCTGTTTGTAATACCATTTGTCCACAGATCTCCATATATTTTGCCAATATTATGGTGACTTTGAAACACATCTAGGTAAACATCCCATTATGTTGAAGTTTCCAATCCTGCCATCTTTATTTTACCCAGATTTGCTTGCATTTACAGTAGACAAGAGGCTCATAAAACAAAGATTTCTGGAAAAGATTTACTCATGTTACCTCAAACTGAAAAGTCACTTGGGTTTTTGAGGGGGAGATGAGGAAGAAGAGGAAGGTCACAAACTATGTAGTTAAGTAGTACGTTCTTTGTCCCTGTTTGCTAGTGCGGTTTGTTTGCTAGTGCGTAATGGTGATATTATTTTATTAGCAGTTTCAAATTCATTTCTTTGAACATATTAAAGTCTAATATATTTGAGTGTTCTTTCAGTGGTGTAGCTTTTGGAAACAACCTCTCTTGCGTTCCAAACATAGTAAGTGCAAAGTTTGTTTTGAAGTAATATTTGAAATACATCTAATGGAAGTAGAAGTTAGTTTCAGATCTTGGTAGTGTGGATTTTAAATCCACTAGCAATAATGGGCACTCTCTTTTCCCATGTGGATTTTGGATACCTGATAAGTGGCCTGATTTTTTGGTGATGCTTTGAATCATATATTTAACATTTTAAATTATGTATTGTGCTGTATGTATATTTAATAATTATTTATATAACTATAAATATAATATGTTACACATGCATGTATGTAGAATATGAGTTTCAGCTATCATACTACTAGTGCTTTTTAAACCTCGCTGTTGTGTTTAGGTGCCTGATCCTTAGGGATAGTCCTTTAATGAAGGACCATGTTATTAAGTGCTGGATCTGCATATTACTCTTGGAAGGGTGTTCCAAATGCGACATATTTGAAGCCCATTGACTCTTCAGTCCTGCTTAGATTTCAGGGAGCATCTGGACAATGCTCTTAGTCACAGCTTAGTTTTAGGCTGTCCTGTGAGGAGCAGGGAGTTGGACTCGATGATCCTTAGGGGTCCTTTCCAATTTGAGGTGCGCTAGGAGTCTAGGAGAATTATTTTTCCTAACAAATTGGTCAGCGCAGACTCTTGAATTAAAGCAGACTGTTCTGTTGTGAGATGTCAACTTCATAGCACTGAAAGAATATTTGTGAGTTTTCTGAGGGGACTGTTATTTTGACTGGATTACTGTAGCTGGTTTAAGAAGTAGCCACTGACAGGCTAGCATCTGCAACTCACCGTTAAAAGTATGCCCTGCCTTTTTGTGTAATTACTTCCTAGGCACCATTTTACAAGATAAACTGGACACTGCACAAATTGGTACCTGGCAGGGATTTTAGAAATGCCAGTGAAATGGTTTGTAATCAGCTTGCACTGGGAGCATTGCTGTTGGTTCTCAAATAACAGTAACTGTACTGAGTCAGACCGTAAAGTCCATCTAGCTCAGTATTCTGTCTCAGTCAGTGGCCAGTTTAGCCTCCTGGTGCCCTTCCTGAAGTCAGAGGGTAGAGAGCTGAGTCTGTACATCATAGTCTCAGTGTCAGGACTATAATCTCTGTCTTCCCAGAGGAAGTCTTCCAGATTTCTTGCTTCTGCTGAGAACATCCAAGGTCTTGGACAACTTGTTTCCTTACAGCAAATGGATGTCTCTTACAAAACTGCAAAAGTGGGACTTCTGACAGTGTTCATTATAACAAAGCTCAATCTTTGGAGCTGTGCCCCAAAATGTGTCTTTGCTGGATGTTCACCATGCAGCCCGTTCGAGCTCTCACTGAGCCATCCCAATGCTTTCATGCAGTTCTTAAAACAGATGGAGCTTTTGGTAGGACAGCATTGCTGGTATTTGTCTGAAAGATAGGTTGAATTCAATGATCTGGCACATTCTTGCAATCATATGTTGCTGGAATGTATAGGTGGACTGTGCATCTTGATTTCTGGTAAGTGACCTTTCAACCTTGCCTTTGGTGTACTGAACAGCTCTTGGTTTCCCTGTTTCCATATGTAATGCTCAGGTGAATTCTAGTGACCTTTCTGCCTCTGCTTCTACAAAGAGTACTTTAACACAGAAATTAAAGTTGTGTGCTACTTGGCTGAACAGGCCAAATGCCTTTTTGCAAGGCCATGCATGGCAATGGTGGGTCCTATTCGTCTGCCCTGCGCCTGGAATGTTTCTGTCTGGAAGTAGCTTCTGTGGTATCTGGGAGGAGAAAATTAGAATAAATGGGAGAGAATGGGGAGGTGGTGAGGGAATACAGATTTTAAAATTGTTGCTGTGTTGGTCACTGTTTTCAAGCAGCCATCATAAGTCTGCGTGTACCAGGGTATGTGAAGTATATTTTGAGATCAAGGCATGGAGTTTTAAAACTTTGGCGAACAGGTGTCTCTTTCTTCAAATAATGAAAATTTTAAATCTTGGAATAACTGGATGCAGCATGCATCTTCCCAGCATGCAGTATTTTAAGAAAAAGTATGCTACCTGGGCAATAGCTGATTTGTGAAAATATTTTTTTAAAAATTACTAAATACTAAGAATAAAGAGTGAATGTTGAACTTTAAAAGAGCCTGCAAGTACAATTATGAGAGAGAATTTTTTTTTTCATACAATGGAATAATTGGGTTTTTTATGTACATGACAAAAATTCTTCATTTCAGCAGTAAAGTATAAGATATCTTCATCATTTTCATTGCATTTTTTCCATGTTCAATTATTTCTTAGGGCTAATATTGTAAATTCTTTTTGCTTCTGTCTGAATTTTTATGTGCTCTAAGATTGTGATGTTTTGTGCTGTGGAGTCTATTGGTTTGCTTTATTTGAAATGAAATGTGAATGCCCCTGGGGTTTACATGAGTTGTTTTTATTTAAACTGTATTTCTTTAGTTTTCTGGTAACTATGAAGAACATGTTATTATTTGAGAGAAAATGGTATTAACTGAACTAATTTCTTTTTTATTGAAGGAGATTTTATGAGGATGGAGCAATTGTTCTTGGTGAAGAAGCAAATATGCTTGCTGGTATGCTGTTGGGACTCAATGCAATTGATTTCAGGTATTATATTTGCATGCTTCATAACAAAATGCTCAGGGAAAGTACTTATAAATCAATGCATTATGGAAAACATTGTCAGATTCCTTGATAGCTTGAGAGATGATACTTACGTGGGGGAAAAATGGGGAAGGGGAGAGAGAGACATCTTGAAGGGCTCTTCTAGATAAGAACAGAGTTAGGCCATAGTTTATATAGCTGCATGATTACACAGTCTGTCTTTCAGGTATCAAAATCCTGAAAGCAATCATAAGTGTAATTGCAGAAGATATATCAAACCCATTAAGTGAAGCTTACAGTCAATTGAGTCTTTTAAAGGTATTTTTAAACTGAAAGAAAAACTGTGTAATTAAGTACATGGTTATGCCCTGGTACTGAATGACAGCATTGTAACTGCATATGTAGAAGGTCTATGTACGTTTAGCAGTTCTAGGTTTTGAAGGCTTAACCTACAAATGACCATTTAATACTAATTTGTGTTATAATTCACTGCAGCCAAACTGCAAAGTATCATCAGATTACATAAATTTACCTTTGCAATCTCTAGCTAGACTTTTGTGTGCTTGTTAAATGATTAATTTTGTGTTTTGGGGTAATGAAGGTGCAACCACACAACCTAGATAATATAAAAAACATCTTCGTGTATATATTGAAAAAAATTTTTTTGAAATAGATGTATATAAAACATCAGTAAGGTATAAAGGCTACAGTGCATATGAAAAAATCAAACCTGGCTGATGCAAGGCCCTGTTAATATGCTTGATTGAACCCACCTAGCCTCATACAGAGCCACCGGGGAAGGGTTTCATAATACAGCATAGGGAAAAGGAGAGTGATGATGCTTTTCTCCAACCTCTTGTAAAGTGCACTGTTAATATTTACCCTGCAGCAGCATTAATGCTTGTCACAAACCAGTTTAGGAGATAAACTGGCAGAAAACAGCACATAGTGTCACTGGATGCACTGACTGACTGACTGTTGCCAAAAGGCCTTTGGAGATTTATTCCTGCTTATGTACCCTTACCCCAGTTTTGAGGCTTGTTTGACCCTTCTGTGAGCCAGCTTAACTTGTTAAAGAGTTAAAAAAAAAAAACATACCTAGTAAGAAGAAGGCATAGTTCTTTTGCTGTTAGCTGGTTTGCTTCACAGAAGCATCCTATTAGTGGCAGAGATGATGGGACCATAAGGCTTAGAGAAGAGAAGGCATAAAAAGGATTGAGTAATGTCTTCCCTTTCTGGTGGCAGTAAGCATTTAGTTCAGCCGCCTGTGGAACTGCAACTGGATGCTAAAGGGGAAAAAACCCTAAAAATTCAGGTCTTCGTGGCTGAGTTATGGAATCAGATTAAGTGCAAATACCACTGTAAGGAGGGGAAAGGGAATATCTGGCTGGAGTGTAAAAAAATAGAAAAAGAAAGAAAAAACGGGGAAATAGAGGTTGAAAATGCAGGATAGCTTCTTTTGCCAGCACTTACTCATTAGATTGGCTTAACTGCATCCTCAGCATATGTTCTGCGGGAACGGAAGTGTGCTGCAGGATGATAAGAGAGCTAGCCTTGTGTATAGAAAATTCAAATCGTACCAGACTTTATTAGTTTAAGCTTTACAGTATGTGAAATTAAACTCCTTCTGTATTAGCACTATACTTGGAAGGACTGTAGCTATGCATGAATAAGAAACATAGCAAGAGTAGGTCTGCAGTGTGTAAATTCTCCCATAAATTATCATCAGTTGACTATGTTTGTCTCGTGTAAGCCTCAGTGGTACATACTACTCTGTGAGAGCTTAGTTGTATGAGTGTGGTTGTTCTTCCTTTGTCCTCTGATTTCTAATATAAGCATGTTTACAGGTATCTGTTAATAATATTCAGAACTATGATTGGTTCTCGTTGGAGACATTTGAGTTTTGGTCAATGCAGCTTTTAAGAACCTAGAAATTCTCTCAGCAAAATAGGAACATAGTGCTACAGGAGTATTTCTATTATGCCACATATAATTCATAGTATCGTGGTTTGAATGGCTCAGAAGTTGTAGCCATTCTTTGCATGTTCTATTTGAGATTTTTTTTTCCGTTCAAACAGTCTTTTATAAATGTTGACCGGCTTATCTATGTGGAACTGTAAATAAGACTTTGGGATGGAAATGGGGGAACCCAGGTGAGAATAAAATCTAATCCCCCCTCCCCTCCCCCCAACAGTGTGGAATTATGTATCTACTTAAAATAATTGTGGTTTTGCAGGGGTGTTTTTTCTTGTTTTCTTTGCTTTTCTTTTCTTAGAGCAAAAGAACCCTTCAGATGTACTTCCCAAATACTATTAAAGTGACTGCACTGTCAAAAATGGCACTGTGCAGTTAAGTTAGCAAAAGCTGTGTCTTACTAGAATCTGTTTTTTGATGGCAAAGATAGGAGGAGTGAGGAATATGAGCCTTGTGAAAGCATAATTAATTTTGTCACTTCTGTGATAATTAAATGTGATTCAGATACAATCTTTTATATCCAGTACAGAAAGAACACAGTGTAGATGAGAGCTTTATAAAGCTACAGCCATTTAAAAACATTTTCTGAAAGTTAGTATCATTAATGTTCCTCATCTTCCTGCAACCCAGCACCAGAAAGTATCTGATGGAGAATGACTGAAATATTTTTGAGAACGGATTTTAGACTTAAAGTTAGTAGCGTGGTGCACTCTGGAAACACTTGAAATGAGCTTAAATACTGAAGATTCTAAGCTGATCCATAGCTCTTCTGTTTCTCTTGCTTCAGCTAGCTTTTCTTTTCCTGTTATTCCCTTGCGATCCATCTGTCTTTTCAGAATAAAAGCAAATATTTAAAAATTAGGGTTTGTACCACTTGTCCTGATCAGTTCCCTGGAATGTGGAATTTTTGTTTGTTGTGGTTTTCATTATCCTGTAATATGCTCAGTGCCTCCCGTTTAATATTAAACAGTCTAGCTTGGCTGAGTAGGGTTTCCATGTTAAAAGGTCTAGGCCTTTCTTATTACCAAAAAATTAAGAAAAATCAAATTTCACTTTGGTAACATTCAACTGTCACTGTCATTTAATTTTCTTGTTATAAGCTTATCATTGTTTCTCTGTTTTATCAGTTTTTGTCTGAAGGGTGAGGGATTGGATGGCAGCTTTCCAGCTGTCATAGATTATACACCGTACTTGAAGTTCACCCAAAGGTACTTTTTATCTTTACACTGCTTTTTAAATTCTATTTCATTGGCGAAATTTTACTTTATACTGGACCTCTTACTTTTCGTTCCACATTCAAAATAATATCTGAATACAAACCTGTACACTCAGCTACCTTTCTCTTTCAGGCTGGTGGAACTGTTACATGACTCACCAGAGTGAGTCATGCTAACTTTGTTTACTTGGATTAGAATCACAGTTCCGCAGGGAAAAAAAAAATCAGCAGGGAACAAATTTTTTATTTCCTCTGAAGATCAGAGAGCAAGTTGTCCTTTCTCTTGGGCCTTTTCTGTGTAGCCATAAACTTAAAAGTAGTTATTTTGTAAATAAAAATTATATATGCCCTGGTAAATGGTAAGATATGACAGATAAGCAGTATGCAGTATGAGCAGTTAGCACATAATAGAAAATCATGAGCATTTGTGTATATAATCTGACCTTCCAGCTACATTTTACTCCTCTGATCAGCTGTATGATTAATAATAAAAAGAATGATCGCTATCTAACAGATCAGATAGCGATTTGGCATCTCCAAAAGGCATGGAAATTAATGGGATGTGTTGTACTGTTAGTTTTGCCGAAATGAAGGAACCAGTTGGGAGTTAGGAGTAGTCTTGAAGATGTACAACTGAACATCCTAGTTACTCTCTTGAAGTTCTTACTAGCTTACATGTTAACAACAAATTGCATGATTCAGTTAAAGTAGAATTTGCATCATGGCAGGATCCTGGGGTTGCAGGAATCACTACTTAAAAAACTAGTAAATGCTGTTTATGCAGTGGAAAGCATAGCTGTAAGGGAAGATTTCAAATTGGTATTGGGGTAAATTAAAATTTTTGGTTTTGAGACAGATGTCTGAATTCTTTGGCATACATTGATTCTGGATGATATGGAGATATTTTAACAATGAATCTGCATGCTATGTAAGGAGATACTTATGTTCTCTGCAATAAAAGGCACATGGTCTTTGTTATAACCATAACTATACATTCTCATTAAAATTTAGCATGGTCTAGCATAATGACAATCAGTTTTTTATTTTTCTGCTTTTTTAGAAACAAATAAAATCTATTTTAAGATACTACTCTTTGTCCTGAATTTATGAAGGAACAATTAAGTCATCACTTCCTTAGATAGTGTATTATGATTCTTTAGGTGGCTGTACAAATAAAAGCTTGAAATATAAGTTGTGTTTGGTGATCTGTCCTATCCCAACACTTTGATAATTTTAGTTTACAGAGCTTTAGATATCTTCAAGATCTGTGGTGTTTTAATATGAAGTGGAATTTGTATTTTAACAAACACAGATTTTCACTTGGCTAATAAATACAATCCTTCAGTTCTGACAGCATCAGCAGTGATGAAGAAGAGCTAAGAACGCTGGGCAGCAGTGGCAGTGAAGGCAGTACTCCAGAGAACATTGGTCCTCCTTTCATCACAGATGAAAACAGTTGGTACAACAAATGCAAAAGGGTAGAACAGAAGTACCGGCTTGCGTTGGAACAGAAGGTAAAAGATCAGATTTGTGTGGGGATGATGGAGCCAAAGCTCATCACCAGCCAACTGGTGACATACCCATTTAAGTAAAGGCAGAAAAAGATACTAAATATTATTTAGCTTCTTGTAAGTGGTCTTAAATTTTATAATCCTTAGATGTCTAAGTATCTTTGCTCATTGATTTGAGGGGAAAAGAGGTTTGGGGAGGGGGAGGAGGACAATAACGATAATAATTCAGAAATCAGATTTCACAATCTAATGTAGAAGCTTTGACTTCTTTTTCCAATCTCATAATTACAGGCAGCGTATCTCTGAAGCTGTTAGGTTGCGAGCTTGAAGCAAACACGATTGTCCACATGATTTTGCTCTTCCTTAGAGGCCATAGAATTTTACTGATGTAGATGGACTGCCAGTTGAAGGCTTTTATAATGATAGTGATGTTAAACTTCATCATTTAGTCTTACAGTAAACAAAAGTGGTCAGCAAAGTAATCGTTGTAGGAATGAAAAGCAAAACTATCTTCTCAGTGATACTGAGATGGGTTTTTAGAAAATAGATAGTTTTAAGATCTACTTCAAGTTAGAATGGGAAAGAGGAAAAAAAAAATTTAGAAAATAGATAGTTTTAAGATCTACTTCAAGTTAGAATGGGAAAGAGGAAAAAAAAAGTTAATAATGTAGGTGACATATTGAATGTTATTATAGAAACCAAAGGTAGGTTCTCCTTCTGCCACCCAAAATACTGTAAGTTAAAGGTGAAGTGAAATACATGTCCAAACTTTTTAGTATTTTTAAAAGCAAGGTGCTGTCGTTTTTTCATACCAGCATATTACAACTACAGAGACAACAGTGCGTATTAGCTAGTCGGAGAAAGAGGAGGCAAGACTGTTTATAGACACTGAAGAAATAATGCACAGAAAAAGAAAGGAGAGGTCAGGAAAAAAGAAAGGGAAGAAAAATGAAAGACAAAAGGTTAATGTTTTTAAAGAACTTAATTAGTATTTTTAGTATTCTTTTTTCATAATGTCAGAATTTGATTTTGGTGAAACTCTGAACACAGTAAACCATATGAAAGGCTGGAATTACATAAGGGTGCTTGGAGATGCCCTTAGTTTAGGGCATTAGAATCACAGGATTATCTCTCTGCCTTTCTAGTTTTTATCGTACTGAAAAGAAACAAGGTTTAAAAAAAAAAAAAAAGAAAAAAAGAGATGGGCAGATGGGATCTAGAATGGATATTGTGCCAGCTGGGACTCGTAGTACGTTAACTGTGGCCCATGTCCTGATACTAACTCATTTAAATTCTGAGAATGATCGTTGGCATGGTTTTGGCCTGGGACAACTAGCACTCTCCCAGATTATTTGAGGTCATGGTTTGTGAAGTAGTGATGATTCCAGGTAACCAGTATGACCTCAGACATGGTCCTTTGGAACTTGAGGTTTAGTATAGATATAGTCAGAGTGAGAGAGCATACCTGTGAAGGAGTCCTGGCTATGTTCAGTTTATTAGGGTAAATGTAGCTATGGATTGCTAAATGTCAGTCTTAATATGGAACGGGTAGAACCAAAGTTGGTTTACTTTAATGCATGTGAGAGAACCTAGTTAAAGTTTTTCCAAGTAACAGTGAAAAAGTCAGGCTTACTGTGGGATGATAGATGTTAGAGGTATTTTTAAAAAATATATACACAATTATTTATTTTCCATTTTGAGTCCCTTAGACTTCCTGTTTTTGAAATATGACCATAAATGTTGGCATCCAGGTTGCTGGTACAATCTTCTCAGGCAGTGTGGTATCACTTTTCATATGGAAAGCACTTGTGTTACTTGGGGCTCTCTCTGGTACAGATGACATTTTCCCTGCTTTTGTAAACCAAAGTGTGCCATTCAAAGGGAATATCTTCAAATATATAAATAAAATTAAAACCTTTCCTTCCCCTCCCCAGCAGTCTTTGAAGCACAGGAACGTATTCAAGACAGCATTTCATCCCTGTGTCCAGACAAAAACATAGGATCAATTTGAAATCCACTCTTCCTCCCTCCTCTCCGCCCCCCCGCCACAAATTGTAAAATATTTTAGAGTTTAATGAGGAAAGTGTCGTCAGCTCTGAAGAAGCATTGAAGAGAACAAAACAAGTGGATGTTTATTTTTCTTGGTACATCCAGGTGGTTCATTTCCAAGGGTACTCCATGAAGGATACTCTGTTAAAGTTGTGACAGACATCTGTAGAAACAATATTGAAACATGGTGCCCAAAACCACTAGCCAGAATCGCTAGGAAGCTTTACATCTGCAAAAGCACCAAGATCGTCAGTGGCTGTAACAGCAAATGGAAGTTTTTGTTTATTCACGAGCCTAAGATCCAGAAACACTTCTTCTCCATGGGAAGTTATTCGCTGATCTGATACTGAGTATTTCAAATTTTTGAGCATTACTATTTTAGTAAGTTACATTGTGCCTTGTAGCAATCTCGTAATGAACTGCCAACTTCTGTAGTCAACTAATGTAGGGGTGAATTCAAGTTGGTTTTATGATAACTCTTTGAAACTTTGGTGTATTTAATGCAATTTGCAAAACGAGAGCTACTGTGACAGCTGTTGACACTTTCCTAATTGTCCTTTAGAATGCCTACTTCACAATTGCAGCAGCAAAATAACTTTTTTATTCCCACAGACAGAAAGTTTTCCATTGTCTAATTCTCATTTGGGATGTGCCTGCCAAATTTTTATATAATTCGCTTCAACTATACTACACCTGTTCTATTGTAACTTGAACAAAAGAGCATTCAGAGGTTAGATGGACTATGGAATAGAGCTCCTTTCCTGAGTGTTTCTCTCCTTTCCTTTTCAGGGTGTTTGTCATGGCAATAAGTTGCAGCAACAATTAAGTTGCACACAATGCAGTAGGTACAAGTTAATCAGAGACAGAGTGTGTTCTTTCAAACAGAGGAGCTTTCTGACATTCTGTGTGTTGGAAAACTGTATGTTTGTGACAAGAAGACCAAGTCAAAAATAATGTATTTTTAGTAACTGATAGATCCTGCTTTTTGCTCTATTGTCATTCACTTTGTGCAAACAAAGATAAATTCCTTTTGTGCCTCCTAAATAAGTGTCTGTACTGCAATCTTTAATAGCACAGGTGAATGATGTTTACCAGGGTCACAGTATGACAAGCGATTGGATTGCAGCTAGCATAAAGGTATCTGTATCTTCTGAGTTGTCTGAATGGTTGGATAGGGTCAGGCATTATTTTGGCAAGGTAAATCCTAGCATTGCTTTATTCAATCAACAATGCTGTGCTGGTTTAGACCAAGAGTCCTTGGTTATCTTACTATCCTATCTTGAATACTTGCCCAAACTAGATGTGGAGGGAAGAATAAAAACAACGCAAATATATATGTGCTGTTTTTGCTCTAATACTTTCTTAGCCAATGCATATCAGCTGAAGGACTTCCTGAAGCTGATAAGGTTTGTCTGTTTCGTAACCCGTGATGGATCTCTCTTCCAAATACTTGTCAAATATCCCCTTGACCCCACATTAATTTTTAGCATCCAGACTATTTTTTTGGCAAAGCTTTCTGCCTATCTACCATCTGTTGTGTGAAAAGCCACCTCCTTTTCTGTCTTTTGAATCTGGCTGCTACTAGCTTGATTTCATGGTGCCTGGCTCTTGCATTTTAAAAAATGATAAACAGTCGCTTCTTTCCTGTCCTCTCCAGGCCATTCTGGAAATATGATGTGTTTGTCTTTTCCAAGTTGTCTCTTGTCCAGATTAATGAGTCATAGTTTACGCATTTGTTACTTGCATGGAAGTTATCCCTTCCCTATTTGGGAATGATGTAAAATGTTCCCTTTTGTGTACTGTTTATATTGGAGTTTTATACGCTTTCACTAGCGGGATGATGCATCTCCCTGTCATTATAGATAGGGGAAAAATTTGTAAAGTGTTTGTTTGATGTTTCTGGGAGGCAGGAAATTTATGCATGTCCTAATGCATCATTTAGTACTTCTAAAGCGCTACTGTTGTGGTTTAACCCAGCAGCTGGCAGCTAGGACCAGACAGCCGCTCGGTCATTCCTCCCCCGCGACCCACTGGGATGGGGAGGAGAATGGACAAAAAGTAAAACTTGTGGGTTGAGATAAAGACGGTTTTGTAAGACAACAAAGGTAGGAATAACAATAATAAAGATTATGCAAAACAAGATACACAGTACAGTTTTTCTCACCGCCCGACAACTAATTGCGCAGCCAGTCCCCAAGCAGTGATCATGGATTTCACGGAACTCTCAGAACTCATGGAACTTGCTGATTCCTGCTCCCTGGCCAGCCCCCGTTCATACACTGAGCATGACGTCTGTGGTGTGGAATATTTCCACTGACCAGCTTGGGCTGGCTGCCTGGCTGTGCTCCCTCCCAGCTCCTGGACACCCGCTCATTAGATTAACAAGCAGGGTCCTTGATTTCACAGCAAGGACTCAAAACATCAGTGTATTATCAACATTCTTCTCATACTGAATCCAAAACACAGCAGCTACTGGGAAGAAAATTAACTCTATCCCAGCTGAAACCAGGACAGCTGTAAGAGCTCCAAGGAGTACGTTAACAGTCAAGATAACAGTAACATTTGATGTAGCAGAACTAGGCATATTGAAAAGCTCTCAAGATTCCTTGGAACTTGTACTGAGACTAAAATTAGTTCCTATGAAATATAAATATATCCAGTGGATAGAGTTGTATGTAATCACAGAATCACAGAATAGTTGTGGTCGGATGGCACCTCTGGAGACTGTTGTTCCCTGGTCAGGAAAAGGTAGACTAGAGCCAGGTTGTTCTGTTGGGCTGTGAATATGTCAAGGATGCAGACTCCCCAGCCTGTCTGGACAACCTGTTCCAGTGTTCATTTAAAAATAAAAGAAAAAATTACTAAAAAGAAAAAAAAGGGGTTTTTTTTCCTACATGTGAATAGTTTCCTGTATTTAGGTTTGTGCCTGTTGCCTCTTTCCAGTAGATACCACTGGAAAGAGTCTGACTCCATCCTCTTTACACCCTCCCATTAAATATTGGTATACACTGATACGATTCTCTTCCTCCTCATCTTCCCTCCAACTCTACTGAGCAATCCCAGCTCTTTCTGTCTCCTCTCATATGAGAGATACTCCAAAGCCTTAATGGTCTTTGTGGTGATGAATTATATTAATAGCATTTTACTAGCAGCTAATGTGAAATCTGTTTTCTTACTCAACAGGACTATATCTGTTCTGTGTCTACAGAAAATACCTTTATTAATTTTTTTTTTTTATGTGGGCACCTATGGGAGAGTTATACATTTTTCCACAGGCTTCAAGGAATGTACAAAATTTTATACAGTTTAGACTTACTGTATCTGGCTTTACCTAAGACTTGATAAGAAATTACTAGCATCTGACATACTGGGACTCTGCTTGAAGGAAAAAAAAAAAGGAATAGCTGCTTAGTGATGTAACTAGATGTGTAATTTGTGAATATACTTTGTGACCAGCCTGCCATCACAGCTGCTGTTGAATACTTACATTGTGGATATTTCTAAATGACTAAGTAGTTGGAGTGTAATTAGCACTGCCTCATATCTTTTATAGTACCAGCTGGAAAAACGATGACATAAACGCATATGCACATTCCAGTTGTACATGTCCAATATTACTAAAAGTGACGTTCACCAGTTGCCCTACCTTATGCTTTACTGTAGATGAGTATTTATTTCAAGAACTTTCTCCTTTGTTGTTTTAATGTGTGATGTGGTATTGCAGTTTTCAGAGGAACTTTAAAATAATGTTGGATTTTTAAAATAATATTCTGGATCGCTTTCATTAACTGTACAGATTCATATAGGTGCATTTACTCTTGTCCTTCTTACGCAATTTCTAATATCCTATATCTGTTAAGTTGTGGAGTTCTGATCTTTTTCTTGTACTAGTGACTCTTCTATGTTCTCGAAAAATGAATTAGTGTTTCATGCTGGTGGCATTCCTATCTCATTGTTTCATCCATTATTCTATTCCTCCACAGGAATATAAATAAGTACATTATTTTTTTGGTACGTATTAGGAAACATCATACTAATCTTAATTCAATTTACTAGTCTGTTTAAAAATTAAAAAAAATAAAACTGCAAAAAAATCAGAGCAGAACTGTATATATCTTGAACCAGAAAAATGTGAACATACATAATGGGAAGTTTTTTTGATAGTGTGTTCTTTAAACACTTGTGTTTCCAGGGTTACCTTGAAGAATTGGTACGACTCAGAGAAAACCAGCTATCTGAATCTGTCTCACAGAATAAACTGCTGTTACAAAGAATTGAAGATATGGATCTAGCCCATAAAATGGAGAAGGAACAGCTGGAATATATCATTGTGGAACTGCAAGACCAGTTGTAAGTTAGTAAAATGGAGAAACGTCATTAGAGCAGTATTACTTAACTAATTTAACTTATTTATCTATACACCATGAAGAACTTCTGGTTCTGTGGAAATGAGTCAAACTTCTTAAAGAAATAGATATATTTTAGCTTTTTTTTTTTCCTGACAAGGCTTATATTCAGAAATGGGTCCCCTGAAAACTGCAGTAGTGTAAGAGAGAATAGTTCTGAAATAAATTTTTATTTTTAGATCTGAAATAGCTTACAGTAAACTTGCTTAAATTTTTAAAACATTTTTATAAAATGTTCTTTGTATTTTATTACTTCCAGCTTCAAGACTACCGTTAAAAGAAATATTGGAAGCGGCTTCCTTTTTAACACTATTTTTAAAATGTTAGGCAGGAGAGGATAAAGAAATATTTATTTTCTTTGTATAGATTCTATTTTATTTGCGTGTGGCTCAGACACAGTAGAAGTTCATCTGATAGCCCTAAAAATATGCAAACTGATGAAACAGTTTGCTACTCGCCCTTTCCACAATGCGAGGCAAAACGCTAAAACAACAGGAGAAGGCTTATTTTTTTAATAGCGTGTGTGACTCCTAATATGATAAACATTCATGTGTTTTATCATCCTTACATAGGTTATCCTCCCATCCCCGTCAGTTGCGTAGGGACATACTGTCCTTTTGCAGAGACACTCCCTGGTAATGTTTAATGACTTAGCTAGATAGATGGAAGACTTGCTGTGTTAAATTGCCACGAGACTGCTATAGTATGCATCTGCAGCAATTGTGTGTTCTGTTCTGTTCATAACAAATATAAGATAAATTATTTTACCTTATATCTGGAGTAATTTATATGTGTCTGAGCCCTGAAGTAAAATGGATGAAGAGAATATAAAGATGACTTTGGGATACGTTGGTTCCCTCTGCCTAATGTCTCACAGAGACACCACCCAGAAGGGTCTTGTCTATGCAGTAAAAAGTAATTCTAGCCTGTAAACAAAGCTCTCCCCCCATCTTGTGATTTTATTGCCAATGCTTGAAATGGATTTTATGGAAATCCTCACGAATACAGCATTTTCATTTTATGTGTGCCAATTTCAGAGTTGAGGAAGAAAAAAGATGTTTTTCCAAGTCTCTTTTCTTTTTTTTCCTCTTTTTCTGATTGCCTGTAAGCTTTTGAGAGATACCTGTTCTTGAGTTCTTTTCTGAATTTACTGATATAGCTAATGATTCATGTTATATTTCTTTGGCCTCCCTGATTATTTGGGGGAGGTGGGGGGAAGGTGTGAGCTCATTTAAACCCACTCTGATACTTGGAAATTTTGAATGTTCAAACTTGCTGTTAATTTTTAGCTGAGCTTTATGCAATCAGACTGTTCTAAAGATCTCAGTCTTTGGGGTTTGATTTTGTTTGCTGGCTTTCCTATGTAAAGGCTCAAATCGTGGGGCAGTTTCTGTATCTTGGCTGTGTGTTCTTGTATAGCTGTTTGTGAGACACTGCAGTCAGGAGCCTGGACTACACTAGATATTTGGAGAAAGGTATAATTTTGCGTTGTTATTGCTGTGAATGTAGTGTGCCTGCCAGATGAACTCTTCTTGAAGTGTGTTAGGAACTCATAGTTTCTTACTGGTGAGAGGGAAGGTAAGAAATATTCCTAGCAGGTATCTGATAGTCAAAACCACTCATAATGAACTTAATCATTCTTTCATACTTGCTGTTTCCCTCTTTTTATTTCTTTTTTTTCTTTTTTTCATTTTATTCTGACCAAGGGTGACCTGGCAGCAGAGTGTGTTGCGTCACTAATGTGTCTGTAGTAAGGCATGAGTTTTGGCCAATTGCTTTTTATGGTCCAGCAGTTTTAGAATGGCATTCACATAATTCCAAATCTTAGTGTTTTGGTCCCCTACCATTAGTTGCATTTCGAAGTAATGAATGTATGCTGTAATCTTTTTCAATTCTTTATCAGCAGGTACGAGCAAGTTTAGGATCGTAATTCTGCCTGAGGCATACTACATTACTGTTTGTAACACACTTTGAGATCTGATTTAGGATCATTTGCTGTGTAATGGAAACTATTATAAATAAACATTCTATATTTTCTTTTTAATGATGCTTTTCTGTTCCACTGGCTGTTGTTAAGGTAGAAAATTCTACTGCTTCAAACTTCTCTCAAGTATTTGTTGATGCTTCCAAAATGGTATTTCAAAATGTTTTTTATATATTCTCAATGGATTTGGGCAGAATCTGAGTCTATGTCTAGGTCTGTCTTTGACCACCACCAAAAAAAAAAAGTGGGGTGTGGGGAACAGAGATCTGACTTTATTGGCAGTATAGGTTGTTGCTGTTGCTGACTTGGAAACAAGTTAAAACTAGTGATAAACAAGGCCTTCAGGTTATAAATTAGATTACCTACAGACAAACTTTTCCATATTCACATTTAATAAGGCAGTTTGCTGTAAAGCATGAAAGAAACACGGAGATAGGTGAAACTTGGAAGTAATTTTTATTTTACAGCTGCTGTGCAAAACTTAATGTTCTACAATTTTCAGTACTCTTAGCTTTGTCTCACACACTTGAGTATCCAAACTACAGTGAACAACACAGTTTTCAATTTAGTTAAAAGCCATTTCATGGATCTCATGAATAGCAACATCTGGAAAATAGTGAAGCTGAAAATTTATCAAATTAGTTACTCTACAAAAGAGTAACTGTTTTTAAATGTCTCTCAACTTAGATTTCTTAGTAATATGCCCACCCATCTGGGGATTGGACATCTCACTGTGCTGGTAAGTGCCTGGTGGCAAATCAAGTTAGAAAAGTGAAACTGCAATCGACCACCTGATCATGTCGGACGTGTTTGAACTAATGCACAGCTGATCAAGAAGAAGGTTCAGACTAGATATTAGGAAGCATTTCTGTACTGAGAGGGTGGTCAAACACTGGAACAGGCTGCCTAGGGAGGTGGTCGATGCCCCAGGCCTATCAGTGTTTAAGAGGCATTTGGACAATGCCCTGAATACCATGCTTTAACTTTTCATCAGCCCTGCAGTGATCAGGCAGTTGGACTACATGATCGTTTTAAGTCCCTTCCAGCTGAAACTATTCTGTTAGATATTCTAAGAATAGCTTGCTCTTCTAACACGCTTTCAGCATCTCCTGATGAAGTGGTTGCCTGGTGATATGTGTCAGTTGTAACAATGATGAGGCATATTATGGCTTTCATTTGCTTTCTTCAGAAGTGTTTGCTGTCACTGGGACTTGTTTTTGCCTGGAACTTGGTGTAGTTGAACCTTATAGTACTGTGATTTTGGCTCCACTCTTCTACAGAAAGAGTTGTATTTTTACAGCGATGGTGGGGCAGTTCTTAAGGCCTTAAAGTGCTTAAAATTAACAGTTCTTAAGTGCTTAAAAATATGAGTTGACAGGACAGCTAAGAGAAGCCTGTGATCTATGGCGTGTCTAACTGAAGAAAACAGTTTGAATTCTGTAACATTCAAAATGTGATGGGAGAGGGATCCCAAATCTTCAAGGAACTGTATCCTGGAGTATTCAAAACTCAAAGGCAGCCATTTCTTCCTCCTCTAAGATCCTGCAAAGAAGTGTTGAATATGTCTTGGAGCAGAGAGGCATTTAATTGCGCACACCATCAGTAAAAAAATTCTGAGCACGCCCCCTAATATAGGTATATTTATTTATAAATTATATACATGCGCTACTGTACTAATATATTATGTACATTATAAAACATACATAACAATAGAAATGAAAAAGGGTAAGATAAAGATGAAAAAAAGACTTCTTTTTTTTCCCCATTTATTAGTAGTACAGAAAGTATTTTCTTCCCGTACACAAAAGGATTGTCTTACGCACCCCACTTTGGAGACCACTGCCTTGAAGGACTACTTAGCTCAGTCAAAGAAGTGACTAGGCAAAGTCTGGAACTGTTTGCCCACAACATCCTTGCATTAAAACTATTTATCTTAGCTTAAACGGGCTTTTTTCCCCCTTAGGGTGATTCTAAGTCTTTCTTTTGACTTATAAACTACCTATGTCTAAGGCAAACTCTGCTGATCTTTGTTACTTTAAAGTTCAGATTCTGCATCTGAAATTGATATTTATGTATGTTAAATATTGATGTATGATTGCAAGAGATTCCATCAGTTTCCTGAATAGTGGCTCATCTCCTGCATCGTGACTCACTGATGTTATAAAAGCTAATCACTTTAACAAAAAAGTCTTTTATAATAAGTAATAAGGGAAAAGGAAAGCATTGTATACAAAGGTAAAAGACCCTCAACTTAAAATGCTTTAAAATTTTGCTGTGATTTTTGTTGAAATGACAGTAGTGACTTGCATAATGTTTACCAACATGGGTTTCCTCCTAAATATTTTTCGGGTTTTCAGGACAGTTTACCTGGTGTAAGATGGTACAGCCCCTTTGTCCCAACTGGTGTGATATTTTATTTTTTTTTTTTTAAATTTATCACAGGTATTGAAAATGTATTTCTTAGATTCAGTGGCTATGCTATATTTTATACCACTCTGTTTCTTATCTCCCTCTGCTGTTCCTTCCTATATCCCTGTCTTGTTCTGGTGTTTTGGGGAGGGGCACGTGGAGTGAAGGAAAGTCAAGAAAACATTTCTGTGTTTGGAATTCTGTCTTTGGTTATGGCACAAATAAGACTCAAATTGTAGGGACATTCACATCTTACATTTTGTTAAGCTTGTCTGTATAATTAAGAATTTTTTGGAGGCTATAACTGTGCTGTCAGCGACCAAGCGGAGAAAAGCTTCTCCAAGGAAACAGAAGCAGAAGGGTCTGAGCAAAGGCTTTGAAAGTTAGCCTGCATTTTGTGTCTCTTTGTGAGTAAAACTCTAAATGTGGATTGCTTGGTTTTGTAATCCTCACTCAAAAATTACATCATCTGGAGGAATAGGAAAGCTGGATCACTTTTAGGACACTTAACCTTCGTTTTCAGATAGTCCTCTGGTTGTAGGCTTTTTTTT